AAGTCAAAATACCAATATATTTTCTTATAGTTTTGAGGTTAAGCCAATTAATTAACAACTGTTTTGGTGACATTTCAAAATTTAATTTTTCTATTAATAAATATGAGAGGACGATTGGTTTGATTATTTTTGTTGAGATGACTATTGACGTGAACCACTAGTCAAAAATTACGAATCACTCCATTCAACACTAAATAAATGGGGACTTGACAATCTACAATCGAAAAACCAACTATTTTTTAATAATATAATAAAAAAATTAAATTAACAATAAGGCCATAACTTTATAGATAAATAAACTATGTTTCAATTTAATTTGTTTTTATTAAGAAATTGTTTGCTTTATATTTATTAGGTTTTCCAACAATTTTTTGCTAGTGTTTGAGTTTTTGCTACACGTTTTTCGAATATTTACTGCCGGTTTCTAGCGATGAAGCTTGTTTCTCTTTAACAAAATTGTATTACATTCCAATTCTTAAAAATTGTGCTAATGAACATAAAATTATAAAAAGATATGTTATTTGGTTATTCCTGTATTTCTTGCTTTGAAATATTAAAAAAATTAAATATATATATATATATTTAATTTTTTTAATATTTCAAAGCAAGAAATACAGGAATAACCAAATATATATAATTTTTTAATATATTCCAGAAGATATTTTAATAATGAACTTTCGTTCTCCTTTTTTTTATGTAAAACCAGATTTATTTCAAATTATTATTTACTTCAAATGACATATCTATTTAATATTAATTTCGTAGTAACGAATTTCTTTTATTGCCATATATATCTTGGATAGTTATTATCTGTTCCTCAACCGTTTTAAATATGCAATATACACAGATTTTTTTTTTTATCATTTATGTCTTTAGTATAGGCAAAATTAAAATTAGCAAAAGAACGTAAGTATAATTTTTAATGATTTCAAGATAAAAAAGTATATAACATATAATTATTATAATGTTCAATAATTATAATAATAATATCAATTAATACATTACTTGTGATATTTAGCTCTTCCACAATTTTTTTCCATGTAACCTCCTTTTTAATAATTTTTTTTAATATTTGCTTGAGGTCTCATATCAAATAAAAATGGAAAATTCCTCACTTTTTATATAAATAATTCGGTGTTTAACATATCTATATGAATACTACCACTAAATAATTTCAACTGTAATTTGTATCTATAATATTTTTCAAACATAACGCCGTCCCCGGCGATACACCTGTAATATTTTTCAAACGTAACGCCGGCCCCGACGCTACAGAATGTATCGCTGAGGTGTAACGCCCTCTATGTGACTACTATAGTGGAAAAGATAGTAATACAACTGTAGCGCTGTAGCGCCGCGCTAAATAACGCCTTCTGTGTGACCACGCCGTTATAATCCTGCAATAATCCTATTAACTTGGGTATTAGCTAACTATTCTGCCTACATTAGGTAGAGAATAACGCCGAAGGAGGGCGATATTTTTGTAATTTGTATCAATTTATCGCCGGCCCCGGCGCTACAGCATGTATCGCTGTAGCGTAACGCTTTCTATGTGACTGTTATAGTGGAATAGATAGTAATACAACTGTGGCGCTATATCGCCGCGATAAATATCGCGTTCTGTGTGACCGAGCCTTAATGTACGGTCTTATCGCGGAGCAGAATGTGGGTCGGATCATGAATTAGTAATCGCGAAACTTCGACAAAAACTTAATATAAAAAAGAGAAAAGAAAACCGTTTCGATTTTGAGAATTTTAATTTGGAAAAATTAAAAAACCCATTAATTAGAAACCAATTCGAGCTAGATGTTAAGAATAGGTTTGAAGCTTTAGAGCTTCCTGACGAGGACCACGAGGATATTGACAAGTTATGGATAGAGATCAGGGATAATATTAAAGCGGTCGGTAACTCGTGTCTAGGAAAAAAGGAAAATAAGAATAACAAACCGTGGTTTGATGAAGATTGCTTAAACATGTGTGAAAAAAGAAAAGCCGCTAAATTAAAAGCTCTAAATAATCCTAGCGAAGACAATCTGGAATACTTCCGAATCTCAAAGAACGAAACGACAAAATTGCTCAAAACTAAAAAAAGGGAGTATCTTAAAAATAAAATAATTGAAATAGAAACTAATAGAATCGAAAATAACATAAGAGACATGTACAAAGGTATAAACAGATCACGTAAATATGTAGGGCCCGTAACGTCTGGAATTAGGGATGATAATAACAATATTCTGACCGATCCGGTTGACATATTGAATAAGTTTAAGGACCACTTTGACAATATTTTAAATACGGGAAATTATGATCTGTGTCCTCCTTCTGAGTACCAGAGTGCTGAACCGTTAATAGAAGGACCAAGTAAAGAGGAAGTGGAAGTAGCTATCGGAAAATTAAAATCATATAAAGCAGCGGGAATCGATAATATTCCTACTGAACTAATTAAGGCATGTGGGGAAGCTGGAGTTTCTAAAATACATCGGTTGGTTAAAAAGATCTGGGTGAACGAGAAATTACCTGAAGAATGGAAAGAATCTATTCTTATTCCGATTCACAAAAAGGGTCCGAGGACGGATTGTAATAACTATCGGGGAATTTCACTCCTTCCGGTATGTTATAAAATATTCACTTCAATCTTAACCAGTCGAATCACGGAATACGCCGAGGAAATTATCGGAGACTACCAATGCGGATTTAGACGGAATCGTTCGACAATTCATCAAATATTTTCTTTACGGCAAATATTAGAGAAAAAGTTGGAGTATAACGGTATTGTTCACCAGCTGTATATAGATTTTAAAAAGGCTTACGATTCTATTGACCGCCAGAAACTGTATAATATTCTAATCGAGCAGGGGATTCCAAAAAAACTAGTAAATCTAGTCAGGATGTGCTTGACGGAGACACTCAATAAAGTTAGAATCGGTAATAATTTGTCCGAAAAATTTGAGGTTCGTTCGGGCTTAAAACAGGGGGATTCTCTTTCGCCTGTCCTGTTCAATTTGGCATTAGAACATGCCATTAGGGAGGTAATGCGAACCGAGAAAGGGTTGGATCTGGGCGGGACAACATCCGTGCTGGGCTATGCTGATGATCTGGTACTGTTAAGCGAAGACGTTGAAACTATAAAACTAAATACGACAACGTTAATGAAAGCCGGTAAAGAACTAGGACTCGAAATAAACGTGGATAAAACAAAATATATGGTTAGTTGCAAAAATGGCGATACTACTGGTGATATCGATATAGATGGTAATATGTTTGAACAGGTAAATAAATTTAGGTATCTAGGTTCTACGATAACTAGAAAAAACGAAATTGAAGAAGAGATTAAGGTTAGACTGAAGGCGGGGAATGCTTGTTATTTTTCTGTGACAAAACTACTTAGTTCGCGCCTCTTGTCCCGAAACTTAAAGATTAGAATCTATAAAACAATTATCTTGCCTATAGTTCTTTATGGATGCGAAACTTGGCCGCTTACATTAAGGGATGAGCAGCGTCTTAAGGTTTTTGAAAATAAAGTATTGCGTAGAATATTCGGACCGAAGAAGGATGAGTTAACCGGAGAGTTCAGACGGTTACACAACGCCGAATTGCGTGAGCTGTATCCGGATAATATAATTGAGGTAATTTCATCGCGGCGAATCAAATGGGCTTGTAAAGTTGTTGGGCTTAGTAACGACAGAATTCCTAAAAGGTTAATATTTGCTGTGCCGAATGGTAAGCGTCCGAGGGGTAGACCGAAGCGAAGGTGGGAAGATTGCATTAAAGCCGACCTGAAGGGACTGGGTTTGGACGGCGAACGGTGGAGGGAGGTGTGTAACAAGCGATTGGTGGTGTCGGCATCGAACCTTCGGGTTCGCTAAGCCTTATTATTATTATTATTATTATATCTTCTGATTTGCATTTCCGGAGATTCATTTTCGACCTGAATAAGCATTTTTATTTTTTTCTCCTTTATTCAATTATCAAATTCTTTCAAAAGTAATAATTAGCATTTCTTCGAAACTCTTAATAATGACATAGTTAAATATTTAAAATAAACCATATTAAAGGTACTTTAGAGGAAGACGTATATGAACATTGGGCATTTAAGCCCTGTAAAGTGACATCAACGGAGGTAAGACCTGATTGATATTAAAGACCACTTGATAATACAATGATACACCGAGTTTAATCAAAATCGTTAGAGCCCTTTTTGAGAAAATTATAAAAATGTATTTCAGCGTTGATATAAAGTGGCACTTCCGGTTAGCCAATTTTAAGGAACAAGTTGCTGTCACATTTAAGGCACATATATCTTTTTATCTTAAATACGTAATATCAGTTTCTTATGACTTTTCGTTTTTTAGCTAGACTGCTGAAATACAGACACACAGTCCATTTTTCGGAACTTGGTTATTTGGACCAAGGGTACCTCAAAACGTGTATTTCCGTTCTAAACTCAGATTCAAAAATATTCATGATCGCAATACTTACACTTATTATATATTATAAATATAGGTAAGTGAAAGTAAAAAGTTTCTTCTAAACTCATCGATAGAACAGCGTGCAAGATCCTAAATTCTTTGCTGAGATCATTGATGAGCATCGGAAATCCATCAATAAATTAGTGCTGTGTATAGAAACTTGTCCATATTAATCATATTTTAGTCATAATAGATATGATGCAAGTAAAGAATGTACATAACAATATATAATATAACCTAAACTGGATACAAAGCAATTTATTCTACTACAAAGCAACACAAGTCAAATAAAATATAACATATAAAACTAAACAAGTACACATTTCTTGTCTTATGTGTTGATTTATTTTTATCGAAGAAATTATGTTAAAGAATAAAGATTATTTTTTAAATATCATAATACGTTTTTTTCACACTTTAAAAAAACTGACTTGTGTGTCAATTTAATTTGATCGCAGTACCAGGTTGTAAGTTATAGTATAAAGTAATATAAACAAGATTAAAATATAATTTTTATTGAATAAAAATGGGAAATCTTAAATCAAACAAAAAGACCAGATTCAATTGTCTGTCCGTTGCAGCATGCAAATCGGTTTTTTTCAACAGAGTGGGGAGACGCATGCGCGGCGTCAGCGATAAGAACCCCTTGCTGTCAAAATGGTTGAGCTCCAGTGAGTGGGGTTAATTGAATTAAAACCCATGTTACGTAAGCAAAGTGCATTTATCTTAAGTCAGTTAAGTTGGGCGACCCTTCACGTACTTGGTTGCTCCCGCCGATGAGAATATGACATCCTAATACTTTTGTTTTTCTGGGTGAAACCTGTATAAAATATTCTAATGATAAGTTTATCATCAGGTACATTACACACTGCATGTTTTGCCTGTTGTTTAATCTATACCTGTTTCCTTTTGTATTTACTCTAATTTAAGTTAAGATATTCGTTTGTTATTGATATTGCCAGTTTATGTACTTATCTGTTCCAATAATAAATTTTAAATGTTCTTAAAGAATAATTGAAACTGAATTTGTAGTTTTAGAAAATAAATTAAATTATATCCATAATTACTAATTTCTTTGTTTTTTAATTTGACAATACAATGGTGTTATATAAATTAGAAACATTTTCTTACTTTAGTAGCTGTTTAAAATCAACAATTTTTGGATTACCTGTTTTGTATTGAGAATAACTACATTAAAAAATAATTTCCTTTATTATCATTCAATGTTTGCATGAATTTACTTCTAAATATTTTACCATTAACAACTAGTTATCCAATTGATTTCTAAATTCTATGTTCACTAGATGCTTAGTTGATTTTGAAGCTTAAATTTAAGCATTGTAAATTTTTAAGTAATGGATGAAAAATATTGACTATACAAGCTCTTTAAATTGTGTGATTGCTGAGAATTAGATTATTTGTATATACTTTGGTTGATTCTTGTACTTCCGTTACGATCTATCATAAATGTATGTTTAAAAAAATATAACATATTAAAATGTATAATTGTGATTGTTGAGAGAGTTTCATGCTAAGTAGTCTCCTTGAGAATAATATTTATGTAAATGATGTAATTAGTTGTTGAAAAGTTATCTTCAAATGCTAAAAAACTTTTCTTTCATTAATTGTCTATAAAATATTTTCATGTTTTCAGTTTGACCAGTTTACAGTACATTGCTCTTTTGTTAAATTTACCCTATCATTTTCTAATGCAGACAATTTGCCTTGTAAAAACCGTATATTCGTTCTCTTAGAATTATATTGCTTTCATACGATTAAGAATCGTACAGTACAAAAATAAATGCAGATGTGTGACATACTTGTAATTATTTAAGTTGATCTATAACATTAAGTGTTGGTAACTTAGAAGCCTTTATTAAGCCGCCATCTCGGTAATTTGATGTGGTTTAGTTAGAATACTGAAATTCGTTTATATGAATTGTTTATGTTATGAACCCTATTTGATTTTTTTATAAATCAAGTTAAGTATAGATTCCTATGAAAAAAATGCTCAATAAATCAGTTGTTTTTTTTCTTCAAAAAACGAACCTAAATATTAATGCGAGTTGTGTAAAAATAAGTTGATTTCCAAAAATGACATTTTTGTTCAAAGAATGTAATGATAATTGCATTTCATTACTTTTTAAAATAAAAATATATCAAATTCTTTGTTAAACTTTTGATTCAAATGAAAATTAAAAATAAATTGATTTTATTATATTCACAAAGTTAAATTTGTATAGTAAAATTCGACCTGAGCAAAAATATACTTCAAAAATGATAATTTTGTATTTACTTATCAATGTTGATTTGTCGAATTTTAGTTCCAATGAATTTAACTAAATTTCAATTGGTTGTTTTTAGTTGAGAAACTAGATAACATCACTGTCCTATATTTCTATCGATTAAACTATTTTCTCTCAGATTTCAGTTAGAATCTATTTACAAAATTTGTTCAAATTCAGACTAGCTATAAATCTACTATTTAAAATTCCAGTTGGAATTGAACAGTTTTTTGTTCTGGACACTCAATTTCTCTTAGAGTTTCATTCAATTCAAAGAAAAACTCATTTTTCAATAGGAAATAAGTATGAGAATCAATTTTTAGCAGATATGATATTTTATACTTAAGGAAAAACCGCCATGGTAACATAATGGTATTTTAGTCCATTTTGCTCAGATATACGGTTTTTATAAATTAATTATCAAGCATTATAAACTTAAGAAAATTATATCCATGATGACCACATTTTAATAAAATATGGAGAACTATAAACTCAAAGAAAAACATCCATTGCATGTGGGAAAAAATAGTCATGCTGTATTTTGACTGGAAAGGTCACCTTCAGGAGGAAGGTTAGCAGGAGGAAAATGAGTTAGGTGTAGTTAGGTTAGACAGTAACTTATCATCGGTTGATTGCAAAAAGTCATTAAGTACTGTTTTATAAAATTAAAACATTAAATACTTGGATTTATTTTCCCATTGTGGAGTCAGAGCATTGTGCAATTAGTGTAACTATTTTTGACATATAATAACTCTATATCTATTTCTTATATTTAGGGTTTCTTTAATTTTGATCCATTTATTGTATTTTGGCATTGAAAAGTAAGTTCAAAATGTTTAGCTCCATTAGAAATGTACTTATTGACTTTGGTAAGGAACCAAGGATATTTTCTACGTGGAATGCCTTTTACCCATCATCTTTTTTGAATTCTCCCTTAACCAAATTTTTTATTTTAAAATAGATAATATGAAGAATTAATTTACTGACACAACTCAAATTTTAACTTGACTTCTTAAAATCTGTTCTGCCCATTTTTCTCAGCATTTTCAACTGATATAGATAGTAACAAAGTATTAACAAAATTTAATTCTTCCATTTTTAAGATTTCTGTGTGACTCAGCTTTATAGTTCAAGAGCCGAGGGGCAAAATAGTATTTCATTTGAAGAAAATGTCCAATGTATTTTTAGTGTTATATCCAACTTGAACAATAACATCTTTTTGTCCACCAAAGTGGACAGAATTCAAAATTATGGCTGTCTGAACGGTCACTAAAACATCTAAATGTGATTATTTTAAGACTTTTTTCTTTTCTTATATTTATACCTTACCGAAAAAATAGGTGGTTGATTCATAGGGCAGATAAGATAAAAAAAATACCTCAAAACTTCAAAATTTGGACTTATTTGAAGACATTTGTTTTTTTGTTCTTATATTACATTAGATTTTTACATAACACAAAACAAAAAAAACTTAGTCCGGCCATTGTAGTTGGTGAGATTTACAGAGCAGACAAGATCCAAACTACACTTGAAGGATAATATGCACAACCAGTTCAAGGAGAAAGGATTCTTCCTTCAAGTTCCCTTCCTTTCAGCCTTCTTCAATGTGGAGGCAGTTGGATTAGTGAAAAATGTACCTTTGTAATTGCAATTTTTATCATTATTTACTTCAAAAATAAGAATATAAAATATAAGAAAATGGAATTTCTTAGTTCAAGCTATTTTCTGATTATTTAGAGGAAGGAAATAGCTAAAAGAAAATGAATTTGAAAATTTTCTGATTTTTTAATTTACTTTTCTCCTCATATATTGTGAACAGATCAGTTTTCATGGTTCAAATTATTGTATTGTCCTTTTGAAGGTAGAATAACAAGAACACTAGTGGAAACATTTTTGGAATTTTCTTTTGCTCATCAAATTACATCTCTATCATGAATTATTATTAGTTTTTCACGGTTCAAACTATTTTCTGACTTTTTAAAGGTAGGATATAAGATGATTTTGAATTTCTCATTTTACAATTTTTTAAAAAATCTTTATTGTATTTTTCATTTTGTCCTAAAATCTATATCTGGAATTATTTTATTTATGCTATCTTTCTTCACAGCATCACATAATCCATCACCCAAGTTGAATCTACCAGCTAAACTTCAGCATAGTATAATGGCTTCCCTAGGACAACCTTCCTGTGGCCCCAACAGGTTGATTAGGAAAAGGGATGATAGGGGTCAGAAGGACAAGGAATAACCGTTAAATATTTATCTATTGTGATACCGAATAGTGACAACTCTGTATAATTGTTTATTGAAAAGAACCATTTGTAATTTAAAGGACTCAAGTGACCCAACTGATTGAACAGCCCTAACAGTAGTGAAACAATTAAATAAATAAATAGGGTTGTTAAAATGTGTATTAATTGAAAGTATGTGCAGAAGTGGTATAAGTCATTTTCAAAATAAAATGTTAATTGATTATTTAGTGTGTTGAATTTAAGCTTTTAAATTGTGGAATGTGTTTGAGACTGATATTTTTAACAGAGAAAGTAAGCTGTTATTCCTTGCTAAGGAACACATATAAGATTTATTTTTTGTCTTAACCATTGTTTCATTTATTGGTTCAGTAATTAATATTTAAAACTGGATCACTGTGGACCCTAAGGGTAAATATTAAATAAAAAATCCTTAACAAATTAAAATTAAATTGTTAAATCAATATTGTAATGTTTCAGCTTGCTGCAATCAAACAAGCAATTTTTACGTATGCAAAACACAGTGAAACAGGCCCAAACAAATTATTAAGTTTACATTATAATGTCACTGCCTTTTCCATATAGCAATTTTCAAACAAATTCTATACATGACCACCGTAGTACAACATGTATTGAAAAATGTGATTAAATTACAATATAAAATTATATAGACAGCTCAATATAACAGGTATTGACAAATTTGATTAAATTACAATATAAAGTTCATATAGCAACATTTCTGCTTGTCCAATTTACCTATTATCAAACCAATTCTATAGATGTAATACTAATACTAATAATAATAATAATAATAATAATTTTATCTTTTATTTATTCTGGGACGAATCCCTTTAGTATAATTAACAAGGACAGAGATGTGGACTTTTGAGCCTCAGTTATATATACATGTATTTAGAAAGTTAACTAATAGATATAATAGGAACAAAAGTTATCTTCTAGATTAAATCGATTAAGAAAAAATTAATAAATGAAAGAACAATGAGTTGAAAATAAACTAAAAACATCTATACATATTTACAGAAGTTTCTATTTACAATTTCAGAGGGACTGGATGGAAAGAAAGTGGTTGAATAGGCCGGATTTAAAAGTAGGGAGAGTATTGGAGTGACGGATGTTGGGGGGGATGGAGTTCCATAGAGATGAGGATCGAATAATAAAAGATTTATCGAAAGTAGCGGTTTGGTGGACCATTATATATAAATCTGAAGACCGGGAATGGAAAGAGGATTTAAATTGAAGGAGCTCGGAGATGTATGAAGGGTGGCGGGAGTGAATGACTTGGAAGAGGAAGGATGCCAGGAAATACTTACGGCGATAGGAAGGATAAAGCCATTTTAGCTCTTCATAGAAACAGGAAACCGAACATGAATCGATCAAAGCAATTTATAAACGTTTTAGTTTTGCTTTGAGATCCCAAGAGACGCCTCCATATACCGTGCCGCAATAGTCGAAGTGGAGAAATATTAAGGAGGTGACCAGGATTCTACATATTTCAAAAGGATAAATGGTGTCGGAGGCTATGTGAGTGTTTTAGGGTGGAAAAGGTACATCGGGAGATATTGGATACATGGTTTTTCCGGGAAGGAGTTTGATCGAAGATTATTCCAAGGCTTTTGATGGGGGAATAAAATTTGATGAGATTATCATTTAGGAACAAGGTTGGAATGTTAGGAACAGTTCTGAGGAGGTGATTGGAGCCTATTAGGATTGGCTTAGTCTTTTCCGCATTCAACTTCAGCTTGTTAGTTCCTGCCCAGTCATATATTCTTTTTAAATCTTCTTGAAGCTTTTTAAGATGTACAATATAATATAGTAGTTATTGGCAAACCTTAATTGAATTAAGCACAGCGCCCATTTGTCCTCTCCAAGCTATCTTGACCGGACTTAAAAATGTAAATATGCCTGATTAGTTAGCTATTCGGCTCAAAAAGCACAGAGTGGCCTTGTGGGTGGTTAGGGGTGGACTACCTATTCGATCATATTTACTTTTTATGTCGGGCCAAGGCAGGGCAGGGTGGACCTGACCAGTGTAAAATAAGAATTATAATGCAGAAGAAGTTTTCATACATATTTATATTATTTAATAATTTATTTTAGTCAAAAGTTTTAAATTAATGATTTGAATGAAATTCTTTGTATTTTATAATCATGTTAAGTCATTTGGGGCCAACCCTAAAGTAAATTGGGAGAGCATTTTCCCCATTTTGCCAATAATTTAGTTTCAAGATATTTTACTGACATATTTTCATTTATGAACTGTAGATCGACACAAAAGTATAAATTTTCGAAAGGATTTAAATCTGGAGAAGAGTTTCATGTTCATTTGTATAATTATATAGCAGTCATTTGTGTGTGTGTGTTCAGCTTTGTACTTTGTTGTTACAGTTTGTTGTATTGCTCTTAAATTGCCTTTTCATTCCTTTTAAATTTATATGTTCCGGTTATTCATTGATAAAAACCAAATTCCTAACTCCAGATGCAGATACAGATTACTCACCCTCACAACAACATATCCACACTCCACCTTCCATTATACCTAAAGACAAATTTTTCTCTTATGCCATTTCAGCTATCCTCCAGACTATTGGTATTAAATTTGTCTTCATCTGAATATATTACATCATGCATGTAGTCTTTAAGTTTTTTCTTAAAGTCTTTAGTAATGATCATGAAACTCCTCTCCAGAGTTCAAATATAAATCCTATCAAACATTTATGGATTTGTGTCGATCCACAGGTCATAAATGAAAATATAATGCTAGTAAAATATCCTAAATCTGAATTGTTGGAAGAATGGGAGCAAATGCCCTCCCAGTTTATTTTGAAGTTGACCCCAAATGACTTAAAATGGTGCTGAAATACAAAGGACTTCAAGACATTAATTTAAATCTTTTGACCAAAATAAATTATTATATAGTATGTATATGTATGACAATTTTTTCTGCATTAAAATTCTTATTTTATACCTAAAATTTGACAGGTGACCTGCTGCTGCACCATGGTTCGTAGCAACATAAGGTTGGGTGACCCCTCCAGGCTATCTTTACTCCCACAAGCAATAATTTTTTTTTTCAATAAGTTTTGTGATGGATTTTTCTGATGAAGTTCAGAATTTTGCTCGTACACTCATGAAAGGAAATGAAATTAACACAAATGTATAAATTTAATAGATTTGATGTGTGTGAAAAACATGGCAACTGATTGTTTTAAATTAATATTTTATGCTATCTCTAATATTTGCTTCCGTTTCCCTATTTATAAAAATACCTATTTCTACCTTAAGTAGGTTGGTAAGTGAAATTTATGTGGTCTGAGTCTACACCAGACTTTTACTGTTTTATGTAGGCTGCCTTTCTAGCCTATAATTATAGGCCTGATTATAATCAGTCCCTCTTCAATATGAATATGAACAAGTCACATAAAGGAAGGAACTATTAGTGATTAAGTGTTAATTTAGATAACTAGCTCTTTTAATTCACTGGTTTCTTAATCTCACTTTACTTTTCTACAAGGAAGACCTATATAGACCAAAAATTTGGCCACATGAAATACTTAACAATTGTTTTTTTATTTATGACCACCTCCTCAAACATCTTGTGATCATTTTTTATTGATATGTATCTTACTCTTTATTGTTGATATTATAAATAAACTTTTACCAAAATTTTAAGGCTGTGAAAAATGACAAAAAAGTTTGAATTCAACTGGCATATTCCCGTACCAGAGCCCTTAGTACAGGGTTGTATATTTGATCGATGGAATGAAGAGAAAGACTCTTCTGAATTTGAGCCTAATTGCCTTTTCAAAGTAGATGAGTATGGTTTCTTCATTTACTGGAAAAGTGAACCAAAAGTAAGTTATTATATATCTTATTACAATATTTTATTTATTATTATTTTCTAAATTTAAATATCTTTTAACTTTGATTGTAGGAGGGAGATGTAATTGAGCTGTGCCAAGTTAGTGATATAAGAGCAGGTGGATTACCTAAGGTAACTATCTCAATTATTTATTTTATTATAATATTATTATACAAATAAAATAGCAATCCTTACAACAGTTCATTAAAGATACATGAGTACGAATCATACAGTATTCTTGGGAGAGAGTTTATAAATTTAATGACAGTTTGCTCTTAAAATATCCACATAAATCTCGGAATAACCTTTGATCAAACGCTTTCCTGGAAAAACCATGTATCCAATATCTGCTGTCGTACTTTTTCCATCTTGAAATGTATAAGTTACCTCTGTCACCTATTTCCACTTGAAACCTGTAGTCACTTCCTTAATATTTCCTCACTTTGACTATTGCTGTATGGTATATGGGGAGGTCTCAGGGGATCTCAAGGTGAAACTAAAATTTTTGATAAATTGCTTTATATGATTCATCTTTGGGATCCCAGGAGATGCCTTTGTTTCCCGTTTTTACGCAGAGTTGAAGTGACTTTATCCTTCCTACCGTCATCCTTCATACATCTCCGAGCTCCTTCTATTCAAATCCTCTGTTCGTTCCCGTAATACTTGTTTCTGGTCTTCAGATTTTTATACACAAAGGCCCACTGAACAGCTGCTTTTGACAGATCGTTCATTATCCGATCCTCATCCCAATGGAACTCCATCCCTTCCTGCATCTGTCAATCCAACTTTGGGTATAGATAAGTGTGTTATTATCTATGTTAAAAGAGGAGAAACAAAGAAACAACGAAGGAAGAAGGCTCAGAACTCATTAACAATAAAACATCTAAGCAATTCAGACTCTTATAGATATTTAGGTTTCAGTCAACTTTCAAAATGTAAGAAAAATAGTAAAGATAACCGTAAAGAAGGATTTAAAACAAGAATAAAAAAACTCAAAACGTACGTGTCATCTCAATTTAGCTAAAGCAATAAATACATGGGCTACTCCAGTTCTGACTTATTCCTTTGGCATTCTAAAGTGGTCTAATACAGAGCTCGAAGAAATGGATTGCTTAGTGAGAGTTCTTTTTACGTCAGGCAGAAGACGACATCCAAAATCTTTGATTGAGAGGACGTACTTGCCTCGGAAGCAAGGAGGAAGGGGGCTTGTCTGTTTATTAAAATGTTGCAGAGAACAAGAAAATAATTTAAGATGCTGTTTTCTACACTGCCCTTAACTTGATTTCAGCAGAGCACAAAGATGTTCCTACTGAAGAGACTCTGATCAAAAGATGGAAAAATAAAGAACTAATTCAGGATCAGGTAGTTTCCACCAATGCTTATAGGAAATATATATGTGGAGAAGATATAAGTGATCAATGTTGCCTATGTAAAAGTGCTACTAAATCAGTCCAGCATAGATCATCGGGATGTCAAGTGTTGGCAGGTATATAACCTGGCCAAGATTGTGCACCAAGCTTTAGCCTAATTATACCAGGGAGACTGGCTCAGCCCTCTTTGGTTTTGTCTTGGCTCCGTTGTCAATTTTATTAAATCGTGATGAAAGCGGATACAAAGTAAAATTTAATGAATTAAGTGCAATGGTCAGTCATAGCTTTTACATGGACGATTTAAAACTCTACACAAAGAATAAATCCCAGCTACAGTCTATGCTAAAGACACTTTAGTGATTCTATACACACACAACAGTCTACTAAATCATTCACACTAAAACTAAGGCTACTTCCCCTAGGATGACCTGGCAGCAGGTATAAAATGCATCTACCCATCAAAATGGTGCGAACTAGAAGACATATAGCCTCGGAGGAATCCGAAGTGAGAGCTGCTTTGGAGACATTCGATATTCAGCCTTCGACATCTGCAGGTGCTGCGAGTGGTGGTCTCAGTGTCATATGTTTCCCATAAGACTGGCTCTCAGAGGATTCTCAACATTAAACTCTGAACCGTACTTGGATACTATAGAGTCTTCCGTGCAAGGAAGAGGAATCATTGGCCAAGTAGGTAGTTTAATGCCAGGCAAAACAATGACGGACTTAAGGAGTCTCCTTGGAATATTCCTCTATTTATTGGTATACAATTTCTAGAGGTATTAAGTTTAGGTAGATGTAATTTCACCTTCCAAGTTTTCATTAGACGTTCTCTTAAACCTACAATTTTAATTTCTATTTTGTACATACTTAATACGTCTATCAACCATTTGTGAGGTACTGAATCATACTCCTTTTGATAATCAATCCAGGCAGTAGCAGTGTATCGATTCTTCTTCGAGATCTGGGATGCTAAAAATGAATCAATTATTAGCAGTACTTTAAGTAGCCTTACACCCTTTGTCCTTTTTCTTACATCCTAATTGCTCTTTTGTCATTATTTTATGCTTGTTGATGTGGTCTGATATTTTAAAACTGATCATAGACGTGAGCAATTTATAAATTCCATTTAGACAGGTGATAGGCCTAAAATATTTAGGTTTAAGCGGATCCCTAGCAGCTTTAGGGATCAAGTATGTTATTCCTTTACAGAAGTCTTCTGGTGGAATAATGGGATTAGCTAATAGTTTTCGATAATTAGAGGATAAAAATGAATGTGTGCTAGTAAAATATTTTAACCAATAATTTTGAATTTTGTCTGGACCAGGTGCTTTCCAATTTTTCATTATTATCATTTATTTGTTTCACACATTACATGGTTGTTTGTAACAGTTGGGGACCGAATTGGTCAACCAAATATTACGTTATTATTATTATTTCTATTTTTTATTCTTGCTTTGCGGGGTGAGTTTCTAATGTGGGAGACCAGAAGTCCACCTTCATATTAATATTTATAATTTTTAAGATGTTTAAAAATGTTCTAACAATACGTGCTGCGTCTGAGAGAACTGAGTGTTGAGCCTCTTTCAGCACATCAAGAGGTAATTTCAAACCCATCGTGCCTACCACTGTTGACTTTGGTATCAATCCATTGGAGGATATTATAATTGGAGTGGTGGTGACGCTCCCCAAATGATATAATTCATTCAATTCGATTGCCAGTTCCTGGTATTTTCTTAGTTTTTCTCCAACAGTAGAACTTATATTATTATCATTGGATATCTCGACATCAATAAGCTATGCTTTTTTCTTTCTCATATCTATCAGCAGGATATATGGTTTATTGTGACGCACAGTATCGTCAGTTATAATAGTTTCATCCCAGTAGAGCTTGAGACTACCTTTTTGGAGAAGTTTATTTGGGTGTTATTTATAATATGGAGTTTTGTCATCTAATAAATTGAGCTTCACCGCCAGAGCCTGATGAAAAAGTTTAGCCACATTGTTATGCCTTTGGAGATACTCGGTGCCAGCTAACACTCCACACCTATCTGTGATGTGTTGGATTGATTCCAGCGTCGCTGAGCATAATCAACATTTATCCGTTGTTGTTGAACCTTTTAGAACATGCCTTTTATATGATTTAGTAGCAATAACTTGGATGGCGAATAGAAATCCTTCTGTCCCGAAGAATCTTTCCAGCTTTCAGCCATTCAACAGGTATTTCCTTGTCAATGGAGCTATCATTCAATTTTCTGTAGCATCTTCCATGCATAGATTTGCTTTTCCATTTTGTCAACCGTTTATTTTCTGACACAATATTGGAGGATATTGGGTGGTGGGCCCGTTCTTGTGTGAGAGTCATTCGCACAAGGCGGTCGATCTCCTGTAGACTGGTGTTTGATCAATAGAATATGCCGAAACAATAACTGAGAGTAGGTATAGCCCAGGTGTTAATAGCCTTGATTTTTTGTGTCCCAGTTAGCTGGGTTTTGAATACTTTCCTTAATCTAATTTTGAACATTGTTAGAACGTCTTGTTGCATGTATTTTCTTGCAATTTTAAGGTGTTGTTGGATGCCCAGATATTTATATAATTTAATGTCTTCAAGCTCCTTGATGTACTCTTTTTCATTGATTAGAATATTCTGCAAACTAACCACTTTTCCTTTGGTTACATGGTGTACTGCACATTTATTCAGAGTATCATGCCTATGTCACTACTAAAAGATAAAATGACTTCAACCGTACTTTGTAATTTGTCTTTGTTTTTCACATATAGTTTAAGGTCATCCATACTAACTGTGGCTGATTGTGGTGGCTTCGTCATTGATGATTAGTTTGTATCCCATCTTGTTCTTTCGAAGAATCTTGCTTAGTGAGAACAAAGCCATACAGAAGCACAAGGGACTTAGACAATCTCCTTGGTGTATTCCTCTCAATATTTTAATTTAATTCTCTGTGCAGATAGTTCCGACTTTCAGCGTAGTTTTCCATCCTGTCATTAGGTTTGAAAGGAGCCTGCTTACTTTAGATTCAATCTTGTATATATCTAGTACTTTAAGTAGACAACTGTGTGGAACCGAGTTAAAGACCTTTTTATAATCGATCCATGCTATAGAGAAGTTTCGCTGTTTTTTCTAAACTTGTGCTGCAATGAACAAATCTATTACTAACAGTTCAGATGTTCATATATCTTAGTTGCCAAGATGGAAGTTAGAATTTTATACAGACCATTTAAACATGTCATTGGCCGAAAATCTTCAGAACATATGTTTAACTCATTCTTTTTCGGAAGCATATACGTGATACCAGCAGGGGGACTCTGTTCATCTTCAAGTATTTCCTGGTAACCTTTGGCCAGCAATTCATGCAAACAGTGAAATCTTTTAATCCAATAATTTTGGATTCCATCAGGCCTTGGTGCCCTCCAATTTTTCATGTTCCTGACCACTTCCGAAACATGTTTCACTGTTATGATCACTTCTATCATTTCAGAGGCATTCTAGAGACTTCGCAATTCTTCTTATATCCAAGAGCTCTCAAGGTAATTTCCTGATTTTTCGTATTAACTTTTCCAATAGGTTTCAATGTCATCAGGATATTTGATCGATATTTTTTTCTTTTTTCACAAGGTTTATATAATACTGGCATTCATTCTGCTTGAACAGCTGATTTTGTTTCCTGCGTAAAGCTGCCTCACTATATCTACGCAATCTGCTGGCGTAAACTGCCAGCTTTTGTTCCAGACTATCTGGATAAAGAGTCAGCCTATGAATTAACTCACTTTCCATTGCTGTTCCCAAATTCTGTACTATAATCTCTTATTATTATTATTAAGTCATATATTATGGATCTCTTCTACTTCCTTAATTTATGTATTGTACCTTATTAACTAAACCAATTTTTGTCTGATTCTTCTCACAATTTATTATCCAATGACTTTCCTTTTATCCTACAATTTTTTCCAGTTTTTAAATTAATGAATAAAAAACTATACCACTTACAGATATTTATGTAATATAATAGAACGTAAGTATAATCAATAAAACATAGTGTTTACCTTTTTTTGTCTCAGGATTCTAGGCTATTAACGCAATTAGTCAATAAACATGGAGACAACTTGGAGGAGAAGTCTCTGACAGTATGCAGTGGCACTGACTATATAAACATCAACTATCAGCATGTAGTCTGTCCCGACGCAGCCACGGCCAAGGTAAGTCAGTTTATTTAATGGTAGAAAGCTTTAAACCTGTTTAGCTTATTTTTGACAGATATATTAATGACTTATATCTGTAACTTAACCACAAATGTTTTTTGAGCTTTGCACATTCACTTGTGCACTGAGGTTTTCTGTGCAGGTTCATTTTTATTTTATTTTTCAAAGGTGTTGCTTACACTTATTTTATTTAACCTATCTTCCTTTTCAAGAACAAATAAAATAATAATAATTAATTTATGTGGTCTAATCTGAAATATCTTATATTTATATTGTTCATTTACATTTGTTTTTTCACTTATTACTGTTCCGAGTAGTTATTTGAGAAATATGTCCTTGCTGAAGGCTGTCCCAATTCCTCCACTTTTTCATTCTATGTCTGTTTGGCCATCAATTTATGATTCCACTTTTGGCCACTGTTCCTTTTTCATCTATACATACTTTTAAATAAGATTTTCCTTACCAGCAGTCTCCTTTTGGATATCCAAAATTATATATACTCTTTTGACATATTCTAAAACATGTCAAAAACTACCTTTAAATTAGGTAGCATACCATACAAAGTTCCTATTTTTAAAAGTACTACACCAATTTTCTATCCTCTTTTAGTTCTTATTATCCTTCTGTCTCGTAATCTCCCATGATTTTTGTATTTATTTGGATCTATCTAAACAAGAAATTTTATGAGTGCAATTTATCATGACTGTTATCTATTCTTTTCCTCTTTCCAAATGTTTCTGGAGTGTTTCTATAAGTGGAGAGTGTATGTGGGTATTCATTGAAATTATTAGGGCTGTTAATTTATTACTATTATTATATTCTTTAAAAAAAAATCTCTTTTCCTAATATTTGTTTCTGTTTGGTATAATGTATTTTTTCTAATATTTAAAAAATTGCCAAGTCCAAACTTTTAAACTTGCAATAAAAGCAATTATTAAACAACGTATATATAAATCAATTAAATTAAAAATATTCTTTTTGGTAGTATTTAAAAATAATTCAATTAGTAATATTCAAAAATGGTTCATTATGATAAAGAAGACAAAAATCTTAAGCAAAATTTGTTTTGCGTATGAAACTAGTACAGTTCTTAATTTCTTAATAAAAATTAATCTCTGAAATTTTGGTTAACACAACAAATTTCTCGGTTTATAAAAAATTTTTGGAACATTAACAAACATCAAATTTTGTGCATTTGAAAAAATGAATTAAAAAAATTCTGTGTTAGCAGATGTTTTGTGTGAAGCAATTTTGTAGCATTCTAAAAAAAAAAAAAAAAAAAAAATGTATATATATATAATCATTTTCTGTGTTCAACAAAAAAGTTAACAAAAAAGATTCACTTCCTTTAATATCCGTTGATAGAAAGCTTAAATAAGATCGATGAAAAGGAATTATGGTGCTGAATCACTCTTTACTAACATTCTACTTAACAAATTATGCAAAGTACTTCACAAGAATTGGAAAGAAATCGAACCTCATACTCCTATTAAAAACAAAGCACTGTTTCTTCTGGGGATAAGACTAGTTTGTGATAACGTCTATTTCACATGTAATGGTAATTTCTGTAATATTAATTTAAATATAAATGAAATAGGTCTACTAAAAACGTCCTGGTGTAAATAAACAATAACAAGCTACAGAATACTTAACTGGCATAGTAATCATAACCCCAAACAAAAAAAATATTGTATCTAAAATTCTAATTCAAAAAGCAAAATCAACAACTAATAACATACTTATTAATGAAGTTAAATCACAAATATTCAAAATTCTCCTTCAATATGAATATCCCATCAGACTCAAAAATAAATTATGGCACAAAAATGAAAAGGATATAAAAACCTGAAGAAGGATAAAAATATTGCAGCTAACCAAAACAAAACTAGAAATAAGGCAACTAATTTAATCATAAATTACTTTAAATTAGAAAATACTATAAAGCAAAAGAACAATAATGAGATATAAATATATAATTTTAATATAATAACTAAATATTTAATATAAATAACTTAGGTCTGAATCATATAAAATATTTTTCAGTAATACATATTATAGATTTGACCAATGTAATAGAAAATACAATCAATGTGATTCAGGCGAAAAAAAAATTTTGATTAAAACTAATTATAATATGGTATTCCAAAAGAAAAATTAACAAATGTGATATACAGTGAAATCTCTAGATAAGGACCTGGCTCTCTAAAAGACCATTTTAAATCTACTGGAACTGAAGTATACAAAAACAATTTTTGTATATGTACGTGTAACAATTTGTGTGATTTAGCAATTCAACACAGTTGAGCAGCCATGCAATGTTACTATAGTTCTCTTCTCTCTGCTATAATTTTTCAACTGTCAATTAAATATATTGTTAATATAAAACAATAGGTTAAGTAAAGTTAAAGAAATGGATAAGATTCCTAAAAGTAATCTTGATTATTTACATAATGCTAAGGGGTTGTATTATTAATATGTTAAAATAATTTAAAACATATGTTTCCGTTGAAAGCTCTGATTCAAATTTTCTTTTTTGACACTTCTTTTTAAGGGATACTCTAGGGGACAAAGGCAAAGAAAATAATCCTGAAAATGGTTTTTATGACTTCAATGGGTGTCAATGAAGCGGTAGCAGAAAGCTTTGTTGAGAAACAATGGAACATTCTTTCATCGTTGGCTTAAAGAGTGTCCCGAGAAACCCTAGGGGATTAAGAAACAAGAGAGCATTTGAAGAATATTGGGACAGGAAAAGAGGATTTACTATAGAAAGAAGAGGGAATATGAGCAAAAGCAACTTGAGGAAATGAAAGAATACAGTAATCAAAGGGAGCATAAAATTTTCTATCAGATGATTAACCAGAGTAAGACTGGCTTCAAACCATGTGTTAGGTCATGTAGAAAGGAGGATAGATCCATAATGATATGATATAATAATGGATTGGTGGTTCTGTCATTTCAATAATCTTCTGAATGACAACATGTGAGACCTATAGGAGTGGGGGATGCCTGCAGAGATAGAAATAAAAAAATATCATGCAGTATTCAGAGGAGAGAGATCTACAGTTGATCAAAAACTCAGTCTCCGGATGATCCTCGAGAAGTCTTAGGAGTATTGAATGATTACTCATTACCTCTTTGTCGACTTCAGGATTGCTTATGATAGCATTAAAAGGTCCAAGTTATATGCAGCTTTGAGAGAATTCCCATTGAAATTGGTTCCACTGATCAGTATAACAATAGGCGGTGTGAGTTGTACTGTGCGGATTCTGTCAGATCTCTCTCCACAGTTTGAATCTACCAGAGTTGTTAGGTAAGGCAAAGGCCTCACTTGCCTATTGTTCAACCTAGCCTTGGAGAAAGTTGCATGTAATTTGGGCACCTAGACTTCTCTGACACCATCTTCAATAATTGGGTTGTTCAGATGCTTGGCTTTGCTGATAACATGGAAACATGTATATTGTCACAAGGTGGTACGAGTCCTTAAAAGAAGCTTTCCTCTAGTTAGCACAGGCTGCTGAAGATATGGGAATGTGGGTAAACCAGGAGAAGACTACGTTTATGAGCTGGGCCTGGGGCAGAGACAGTGGATCGACAGCCTGTAATGGGCCAATTCACGTTTCAGAACGTCGACCAATGGGTGTATCTGGGGTCGGTAGTGAGTTGTGGAAATAGGATCTCTGAGGAAACCAGTCAGCGACTCATCAAAGTTCAACAACTGCTATTTTATTCTCATGAAGTACCTGAGAAGTTCCTACATCTCCCGCCGTTCTAAGTGCCTCTTGTATTAAACCCTTATTAAGCCTATTCTAACTTATGGATTTGAAACCTGGATTCTCACTAGTAATGAGGAGAGGGAGATTGTTATATTTTAAAGAAAGATACTTCAATGAATATTTTGGCCGGAATTGTTGGAGAGGACTGGAGTGCGAAGCTGACATAATGAGGTGTATTAGGTTAGAAAAACTGCTGAGATAGATTTTTATTTCTATTTCCACGTTGCATGCATGTCAGAGGGTAAATTTGCCAGGAAATAGCTGGATGGGAGGACACTGTTGCCAGTGATGTCCACAACCTAATTAACAGCTACAACTGGCAAGCAACAGTGGGCGGGATGGCCAAACAGGCTAACGTGTGTGCATAGCACCGCCGTTGCCCGGCAACCTGAACTATGAGACAATGGATTTAAAATAGTCACGAGTTTGCGTCCCGGTGCCGGGGAGTCTTTTAAATTATTATTCTACATTTCTGTTATGGATATAGTCTTGTGTATGTATGTATAATGTAAAAAAAATGCTACATTGGAGACACCTCTCATTATAGTACAAAAAATGAGTTACCATGGCTTTCCGGTATCCAAAGGTTTCACTGTATAAATGGAATATGGAGATTGTAAAAATTAAGCATATTAGTGACAAACTTCATAATGGTTGGAATATAGATAACAACAGCATAAAATCAAAATTAACAGCTGGTCTATCGCAATACATAGCTAAAAATGGACATACATTTGATTTTAAGAATGCATCAATTTTGCATAGAGATGGGAATATAAATAAACGCAGATTTATGGAATCCATTTTTATTTCCAAAAACATAATTAAAAAATCAGTTAATTAACAAACGGATGTAGATAATTTAAAAATGTTTTATGCAAGCTCAATAGAAAAAAATAAAATATAAGTATGGATGTGTTTATGTATATATTTTATGGGTATATATGTATTTAACTGATTTTGTGAGTGGATATTTATGAAGCACATAAGTGTATATATAAATGTGAGTAAATTATCATTGAAGTATGGCTCCACTCGAAATATTTATAAAAAAATCTAATAAGCCAGTCTTAAGTAAATGGCTAAGAAAAATCAAACTCAATGACTCAATAAACCCAGTACCTCATTATAATAAAAATAAGTTTCCTTAGTATTCCTTTTGGAAATAATTTTGGCCTTATGATAAATTATATATTTTTAGTAATATCAACAAAATTGCCTGAG